AACCAGCCTAGGCTGGTTTAAGCTGGATTTTTCAGTAGGGAGTTAATATGAAAAAAGCTAGTAGCCGGCACTAGGGGCGCCGTTGGCCGCTATGGGCCCTATGTATTTCTTGGCTGTCGCGGATAATAGTAAAGAGGGGAAGGTGGGTGTTGGGTTGTCGTGGATTCCCCCCCAGTATCTCCCCTGGCTGGCACCCATTGACATCCATAGTATTTTATTTTACAAAAGACGATGGGTGCATATTTATAGTTGAAGTCAGAATTATTAGCCCCCCTGAATTATTAGACCGCTTGTTTATTTTTTTCCCCCGATTTCTGTTTAACAGAAAGAAAATTTTTTTCAACAGTTCTAACCATAATAGTTTTAATAACTCATCTCTAATAACTGATTTATTTTATCTTTGCCATGATGACGGTAAATAATATTTGACTCGATATTTTTCAAGACAATTCTAAACACCTTAAAGTGACATTTAAAGGCTTAACTGGGTTTTTAATTTAACTAGGCATGTTAGGGTAATTAGGCAAGTTATTGTATAATGACGGTTTGTTCTGTAGACTATCAAAAAAGGAAATAGCTTAAAGGGGCTAAAAATTGTCCCTAAAATGGGGTTAAAAAAATTTAAAACTGCTTTTATTCTAGCTGATACATATATACACTATATACACACAAAAAGAAAACAAAACACTTATTTCTGACATGTTCCTACCAAAAAAATTAAATTACATTTTAAATTATTTAAAAATTCTTGCAGACAAATGGGTAAAACCTAGTGGTTTGAAGGACAGTGGGAAAGTATAAAAATGTAAAAGGACAATTAATTTGTATTTTCTGACTGCACTGTCACCCTAAATAAAGTCATAATGGCATCAAATTAGTTTTGTTCCAAATACACCTGACAAGGTTTATATATGAAAGTAATAATCTTAATAGTAATAAATATAATTAAAATAAAATTAACTAATAAAGTAAAAAAAAAAAAAAAATTTAATATAAGGAGGAAAAATATATAAAGCTGTATTTTTCTTCTATTTTTTCGATGCATGACCTCTTCTCCCATCTTTTTTTATTTCTTTTTTCTTTGAAAACAGGAAAAAAATATTAATGACCTCATTTGGAACCCTAATAGTTGTCCAATCAAACATCATCTAGCATCTCCCTTCCCTTAAATACAATGTAAAATATTCTTTCATCCTTTATTCTCCATCCAGTTGTTCCAAATCAGAATGACTTTGAAGTATAAGCTTTGAAGAATATTTGTAACCAAGCAGCTGATTCCCATTGATTGACGAGAGAAAAAAAGATATCACATTCTTTTTTTTTTTTTTTAAAGTCATCAAAGAGGTCTGGAATGGCATGAGGGTGAGTGAAAGATGCCAGCATACTTCAATTTGGGATAAAACACCACTGATAAATCAAGATTTTTCCTTCTTTCTTTTTTGATGTGACATTAAAATAAAATACATTAAAATGGTCACCACAGAAAGAAACTGTAAGTCATTTTATAGTTTTATCAGTTTCATTTTAACAGTATTTAAAAACAAACATATATGCCTTCAAAAAAAAAAAAAAACGTAATCTGTACAGTATACTGCATTTATAAACGAGATGATGAGATAACTAAGTGCTTACTAAGTGTTTTGTAGTCATCCCTCGCTTTGTTAGCTCGAATGAACGCTTGAATTTTCACCACGTCATTGATCTGAAATGAGAAAATTGGAGAGGGCATTAAAGATGATTATATTATCTGAAAGAAAAACCCATTCGCTTGGTTTGACAAACTACTCACATGGTCTTTGAAATACTGCAGACGATCTTTGTATTTTTTACGAGCTTGATGCATCCTGACCATTGACTGAATCTGCAGGAATAAAAAAGAAAGATGTTTAGCTAAATTTACCTTATTAAAATTAATCAGGGGCGACATGATGGCTCAGTGGTTAGCACAGTCGTCTCACAGCAAGAAGGTCGTTGGTTCGAGCCATGGCTGGGTCAGTTGGCTCTCACCATGTTGGTGTGGGTTTCTCTGGGTGTTCCGGATTTCCCCACAGTCCAAAGACATGCGCTATAGGTGAATTAGTTAAGCTAAATTGTCCATAGTGTGTGAATGAGTGTGTGTATGGATGTTTCCCAGTACTGGGTTGCAGCTGGAAGGGCATCCGCTGCATAAAACATAAGGTGGATAATTTGGGGATTCATTCTGCTGTGGCAACTCCTAATTAATAAGGAGACTAAGCTGAAAAGAAAATGAATGAATGAAAATGATCAGAGGGCGACACGATGGCTCAGTGACATTTGACATTGTTGACATTTCTGTGTGGAGTTTGCATGTTCTCCCCGTGTTGGCATGGGTTTCTTCAGGTGCTCCTGTTTCCCCCATAAGTCCAAAGACATGTGCTATAGGTGAATTCAATAAGCTAAATTGGTAGGTAGTGTATCAGTGTGTCTGAGTGTGTATGGATGTTTCCCAGTAATGGGTTGCAGCTGGTAGGGCATCCGCTGTGCAAAACATATGCTGGATAAGTTGACCATTTTGCAGTGGCGACCCGATTGAATAAAGCAACTAAGCCGAAGTAAAATGAATGAATGAAAATTGATCAGGACTGAAGTGTATAAATATACTAAATATGTGTTGACCACATATTATCTGCAAAGAAAGTCAAATGCTGTCATTTTAAACTACAAAAAACACATTAGGGCTGCACAATATATCGTTTCAGCATCGATATCGCACTGCACTGCAGTATCTGCAATGCTGAGTTGGGATTCCAATTGTAATTGAACCATTTGTGCATAAGAAATGATCAAATGTGCAGCTTCAACAAAGATTAAATATATCTGTTTATACAATGAAGACATTAGTCAACATTTGAAGTTGATCAAATATGTTTATCAAAATAAGAATGGGTGTTGTTGAACAGTTTTAGGACAACTTTGATTTTTGATCCACACTGTATATAGTGTTATTTTCATATTTGATTATTTTTTTGCTGTACATCAATACTATTAGACTCTTCATAAAACAATAAAGCACAGTCATTTATTTTATTCTGTTATGTATTTCATTTGTACACAATGTGTGTTCTAATGTATTATTTATGCTTGTAATTTCTTTTATTTTATGCATATATAAACCCGATCAATGTAAAATTAGGAATTCTTCCCGAATAGAGTTACTTAAATCAACTCAAGAAATTAGATTCAAATCACAATATAAAAAACACAGAAATACAAAATATCACTACGTCAGCTTTTGGCAATATTGTGCAGCTCTAAAACACATCCATTTAATTCCATCACTCTCTACTGCTGATCATCATCTCACCTTGACGGCTTCATCAGAATGATCATTCAGGAACTGCTTCCTTTCATTGTACTTCTTCCTCTCCTGAAAGCCTCTCCAGTGGGCCTAAAAAACAAGCGAACAAGCAAAAGAACCAGACGGTCAAAGCCGACTTTACACAGACCCATGTTATATTTGATAGATCAATATTGTTAGGACCATAGCACACTAGTGACCTGTATCCGTGTAGCAGATGGCTCTTGAGACTTCAAGAACTCAAGACGCTCTTTCATTCCCCGTCGCACCAGAAAGCCACGGCAGCGGGCCTGAAGCTTGCCGATCAGACTCTCATTGGCCAACCAGAGCTGCTCTCGGTTATATGCTTGGGTCACTCCTGACACAACAGACTTAAAACACACAGACAGCATGCCAATCAGGAAGAGAGGAAAAATAGTGATGACTCAGCCAGCATACTGTGTTTTCTCCAATCAAATGTCCTCTAGCATCTCACATTCCCTGTAGTTGCTCAGAAAACTACAAGATTCTGTCATCATTCACTCTTCCTCCTATTTCTTTCTAGCAAGATGCAAAATACAGAAGAATAAAAAAGTGAAGTGAATAATTGAAATAATTGTGTATTATTATAATTATTAAACTTTAGAGGGCCTTTTAGGAATGTTCAGATTGTTTTATTGGCAGTGATTGTTTATCCTCTACATAGCCTATGTCAATGTAATGACAACTACAAACACATTTATTAATATTAAGTGATGTTATTTTTGTAGTTAATGCCTAATAATTAATTAAAATCACAAGTCATAATCATTTTATTAAATGAGGTTAATAATTAATAAAATGCAGTTGTATTTTTTAAATTAACTTTAAAATATAACTATAATACAGCTATTTTTCACAGCTTATTTTAATGGATTAACTAACATTTACTAATGAGACTTTATTGTTATCCTTTTGCAAGTTAATATGTTTACAAGATTGATTTACTTTGAACAAGTACAGCGGGGAAAGTAAGTAAGTATTGAACACGTCACTATTTTTTTCCTCATATTCCATATTCGGCTCATTCTTCAGTAGCCTAGAGTCATATGTATTTTATAAACAGAAAGTTTATAAGGATGAGCGATTAATCGATCGTTAATTTAAATGATCACCGATCATGGGATTTTGTAGAAACTAACATCCCTACTGTAAGCCAATCAGCATTTCGAATGCATGCACGACGACCAATCAGAATTAGATTCTTTGTCATTCCATCGGACTGCTCCGTTGACAGCGGGAAAGACCAGAAAAAAAATCAGAGTCGGACTAAATAATGCTGCACCACACAAAATAGAGAAGAAACATAAAACTGAAAAGATGTGTTTAAATGTGATGATTTAGAAGCTGTTTTTGACATTGAGATGAAATGTTCAATTTTACATTGTTAAAAAAAAAAAGGCAATATATTGAATCTAAAATATTTTCATTTGTGTATACAGGGAATATGGTCAGTGAAACATTTTCCATGTTTTTTAAACATTGTCTCATTGTCTGTTTTATTTTAAAGTCTTTAAATTTGACATTAAGCTTCGAAGAGCAAATGCTTAATTTAATTAATGGGTGCATATAATTCAATAAATATAATTTAATAGTTCATTTAAAGGATATAAATCAATAAAGATTATTATATTAATTACATAAAATTAACATCTGCACTGGACAAAATATTTAGCACAGCCTAGTGTGCTTAAGCTGAAAAAAAAATATATTTAATCTAAAACATTAAACAAATGTTACAGAAATAAAAAATGCAACTTTCTCAAACATCAACATTTTGTTACAACACCATTTTAATTTTTTAATTAAATTATTAAGCAGACTGATTGTATTTCTTGAAAAGTATTGCTTCAATTCATGATCTGCCAGATAGAACCTCATTATTCCAAGCGGAAAACGACTTTAAGAGAATTATCTTTAGGGCCTCTGTCATGTTCATGTATGAAAAAATTTTTTATTTTTTGCTATTTGGAAAGCAAAAACTTCAGCTCAAAATCATTTAGAACGCAGATAGAACCTTATAATTCCAAGGAGACAATGTGTTTAGGTGTTTACAAGTTTTACAGATTCTGTTAATACATATGATGATAGTCTGCATATGCAAGTGAGAATTTACACCTGTGTCTCCAAACTAAAGCTTAAGTTACTGCTATACTCAACTCAAGCTGTTAAATATAAAATAAAACAGTAAATGTATTTAAATCAAACATGTAGTGCTACTAAATAAGTAGCTGGTATCACCTTTTGTAGAATTTGATGCTGCACCAGTGTTCTCATAATCTGTAGCCTTGTATATAAAAAGTTAATCTAGTGAAGATTTACCTGTATTTCCTCCTTGTTGAGCTGTGAGTTGTTTGGAGTAAACTCTGCAGGCTTATCCCAGGTTCCTTGTCCAGTTTTTAGGTTGTAGTAGTAGTTGTGTCCTCCTTTCACCCAATGTTCCATCCATTCACTGCCATTATCTCCTACCAGAAAGCTTTATTACTTTAAGTCACATTGCCAACGTTTGTAAAATGTTGTGATCAGGGGTGTGCAGTGTGACCAAAATTATATTTTATGGAACAAGTAATTTTATTTCACGGTTATTTAAAGTGCCCCTATTATGTACTATAAAAAGTTCATATTTTGTTTTTTGGAGTGACAAACAAGAGGCTGATACGCATGCAGCTTTTATTGTCTTATAATGTGCATTTATTTTTTATCTAATCATCCCAATGACTCCAAAATGATTTGTTTAGCAATACATTTTTCCACATACCCTCCTTTAAGTGATGCTAATTTGCGGCAATTGGTCAGATGACCCAGTCTCTTGAGAATGGTCTGCTCATAATGGTTTATAAATGTGAAGCAGGTACTGTACATTTGTTAGTCCACTGCAGGAACTTACTGATAAAATTTGTACACCAATATATTCTCTATGCTCCAAGCAATAACAATGACATTCATTCAATATAAATAGTCATAATGCAGTCTGATCCCCCGCAATCCACTACAGTGTTTGAGTGAGAGCAGTTCAAGTTTTCCCGGGTCTCTGTGAGCAACAAGTAAGCGGGGAATCTTTTGTTCAGCTGTCACAGCGAAACAGCAATAGATCCATCTAACGCAGGGCTTCTACAGGTTTCATCATGTCAAATTTAAGACCTTTTTAATACCATTATGAATGAAATTTCAGATTTACACAATGCTAAACGCTAAAAAAATTTTTTCTAATGGCCCAGTTAAAACATTAAAAACAAATGTTATTTTAAGGATGAATATTAAGCCATATTGGTAAACAGAGTTAATAAATAAACTTTTGTTAAAACTTTGGAGATTGGATCGGTGTTGGCCCGATAGCTTGGGTAGCTTTACATGGACATAGAAAAATCAAGACCTACAACACAACATTTCAGTAAATAGAAGACTTTATGGCCTAAAATTTTGTTTTTGAAATTTAAGACATTTTAAGACGTTTTAAGACCCCGCGGACAGCCTGTACTTTCATTAAACAACATTTAAGGATACATATTGATGACAATAACTTTCTAATTATTGCTCGTTTTGATTAAGAACACAGATGAACGTATTGATTCACTTAGATTTGTTACACACTTTATGAAAAGTAATTTTCCAAAATTCATAATAGGGGCACTTTAAACATGTAGTTGTTCTAGAAAAATCAACAAAAGATTTTTGTAATACATAATTATAAATACTTTAGAAAATTAAAGAAGTTATTTTATAAATGTAGTTCATTTTATTCCTTTAGCTTTGAACCTAGACCAATATAATGCATTAAACTTGGATTAACCCAACCATAACAATGAATTCCTCTGCATGTCACATTTTACACTTTCATGGACAAATCTGTATGTACTATACTATATGTACAATATATTTTATAAATGTTTCTCAAATAACACCTTTGCAAGGATCTTAAATAACTATAATTTAAATAACTACATCTATTTTATAACTAAAGATATATTGAAATTAAAACCTTAAATATGAAAATGTATGTACGGTTGAAGTCAGAATTACTATCCCCCCTTTGTCTTTTTCTTTTTTAAATATTTCCCAAATTATGTTTAACAGAGCAAAGAAATGTTCACAGTATGTCTGATAATGTTTTTTCTTCTGGAGAAAGTCTTATTTGTTTTAATTCGGCTAGAATAAAAGGCAGT